GAAATAAAAATAGCAGTTCAGCAAGTCACAGGAAGCTGCCCTCAGGGAAGTTTTTAGCTGATGGAAGGGCACAGTGGGACTTGCTTATTAAAAATAAGCTGTAATGACAGTTAGTGTTTACTGTCAGCAGAATGGGGGAGGATCTTCCACCAGCAGTGTGATTTATCAGTATCTGGAAGAACCATGGGGCAGGAGTTATCATCGGCTGTCCAGAGGCCATGTCGGATTTATGTAAAGATCAGTCTTCCAGGCATTGAATATTGCTGATTCCAGGAGAATGTTGTTGTTTTGAGATGGGGTCTTGCTGTGTCGCCCAGGCTGGAGTATAGTGGCACAATTTCAGCTCCCTGCAACCTCCACCTCCTGGGTTCAAGCGATTCTCCTACCTCAGCCTCGCACGTAGCTGGGACTACAGGCATGTGCTACCATACCTGGCTCATTTTTGTATTTTTAGTAGAGGCGGGGTTTCACTATGTTGGCCAATCTGGTCTTGAACTCCTGACCTTGTGATCTGCCCTCCTCGGCCTCCCAAAGTGCTGGCATTACAGATGTGAGCCACCACGCCTGGCCTCAGGAGGATGTTTTAATCTCTGCTGTGAGTCGTCAGCTAGGGATGAGTCTTCAGGTTGAAGTGCTTGCACAGCTGGCTCTCTCCTAGGTGTGTAAGAACCTCCAGCCTGGATGCGCAGCCCTACTGGCTTCATAGGCCATATGCTGGCCCAGGTCTCTCCAGCCTAGTTCCTGTGTCTTTCTTTAAATGAAAGTAGCTCTGGCAAGGCACATGCACATCTAAGCTGCCAGGACATTTGAGCTTTGGTCATGGGGGAGACAGGAGGTGCTTCTAGCCTGAGGGTGAGGAGCGAGTGACCTCTTAACCAGTAGTGCTAGAGGAATCACCAGGACAGTGGTTTCACAATAGCCGGCCCCACCCAGACCTGTTGGGTTAGGTCCAGTCCCTCTGGGGACTGCTCGGGAATGTGTCTGTAAGAAGTCCTGCAGGTGATTCCCACCTAGTTGAGTGGAAGGAAAGATCACCCAAGGACTGCAATACCATAGGTGCGTCTGTGATTAGTCACGGAGCATATTTGAGTACTGAGACCTAATTGCAGGCCTAAGGTCAAGGAATACAGGGTTGTAGGCGACAGTTGGTCTGTCTGCTCCCCTGGGAATAGCCTTTGAGCTCATTTAGACATACTTTATTGACAGGCCACAAGGAGGCAAGGGAAGAGCCCTGAACAGGGAGCCAGGGACCCTGAGTTTTGGCCTGCCACTGCCTTGCAGTTTAACAGACCTCAGATTTCATCTGGGAAGTTTGGGGTTTCATTTTATTAATGGAACCTCGCACCCAGTCAGAGCAGAGGGGAGCCGCCGTGCTGGAACTCTCTGCAGGGATGGCTGCAGGCCTCAGGTCCCTGCTGACTGCAGCAGCTCTGCAGCCCTCTGCCTGGAAGAGCTGCTCTGCCTTGCAACCTCTGGGCCTCCATCTGGCCACTCTCCTGCTCTTGGCTTTTGTGTTCTTCTCTTAGAACTTCTTAAGCTACATTGGGACACCAGATAATTCTGAATTGTTCAATTTTCAAAGAATGTCTAAAGCTGCTTTGAGATAGATGTTACATTTAGGCAGAATTTAACCATTTTACGTTGACTAAACTTGACAACGAAAAAGCAGCCGGACAGGGCAGCTCCCGCCTGCAATCCCAGCACTTTGGGAGGCTGAGGTGGGAGGATCTCTTGAGCCCAGGAGTTTGAGATCAGCCTGGGCCACATAGAGAGGCCCTGTCTATATTTTTAACTAATTAACTAAATTTTTTTTAAAGCACTCACCATGAAAGAACATAGCAAAATACCGAAAAAGGAAAAATAAGCCAATAACCCAGTCAAAATGAGGTGTGGAATTCTGACTGTGTGTCTTTGGGGCTTCTTCCCATCTTCCTGGCAGGTCTGAGTGTGGATCGCCCTTGTGCCAGAGCCGTAAAGGTGGACTGTCCCTACCCGCTGTCCCAGATCACAGCCCGGAACAATGTGGTGTGGGCGCTGACAGAGCAGAGGGCCCTCCTGTACCGGGAGGGCGTGAGCAGCTTCTGTCCAGAAGGCGAGCAGTGGAAGTGTGACATCGTCAGGTACCGGCGGGCCGGAGATGCCTTCCACGTCGTGCTTGTCCTACCGTTCGTTCTTGTCCACTTGACACCACAAGGCACCACAAGGCTGTTCCTGGGAGGCAGTACCTGCAGCCTCCATAGCTATAGGCTAAGCTTGAATCTCTGCCTAGTTCTGACCAGCAAACTGGACATTGAGTCAGGGCTCAATTTTTTAAAATGCTGCTGCCCTCTGTGCAGCCCTGAGCATCATAGCGTCATGAGTCTGTCATGACAGTCTCTACTCAGAATTGCCCACCGTCAGGTAGTTCCTGTTTAGTGTCTGTGACGGCTTAGGTCCAAATATTTTTCTTTATTTTCATGCTAATCAATTGAAGTTGATCTCTGAACTGTAACTTTTTTTTTTTTTTTTTGGATACAGGTTCTCACTCTGTCACCCAGGCTGGGGTACAGTGCCACAATCACCGCTCACTGCAGCCTCAACCTCCAGTGATCCTCCTGCCTCAGCCTCCCAAGTAGCTGGGACTACAGGCATGTGCCACCATGCCTAGCTAATTTTTGTATTTTTTGTAGAGACGGGTTTTGGGTTTTCATCATGTTGCCCAGACTCATCTCGAACTCTTGGGCTCAAGCAATTCTCCTGCCTCGGCCTCCCAAAGTGCTGGGATTACAGACATAAGCCACTGCGCCTGGCCCGATCTCTGAACTATAATTTATTAAGCTATTTTTTTTTTTTTACCATTCAAGATGTTATAGAACCGCCATCAGATCATTTTACTAATATGGAAGTATTAATAGTCCTTCAAAAAACTAGATTAGGATATTCTTGGTTTGAATTTAGCAAACCAATAAACTTTCAGTGAATACCTGTTAAGAACCAGAATGGTCCAGGTGTGGTGGCTCATGCCTGTAATCCCAGCACTTTGGGAGGCCGAGGCGGGCAGATTGCGAGGTCGGGAGTTCAAGATCAGCCTGACCAACATAGTGAAACCCCGTTTCTATTAAAAATACAAAAATTAGCCAGGCATGGTGACGTGTCCCTGTAATCCCAGCTACTCAGGAGGCTGAGGCAGGAGAATCACTTGAACCCGGGAGGCGGGGGTTGCAGACAGCCGAGATCGCCCCATTGCACTCCAGCTTGGGCAACAGAGCAAGACTCCATCTCAAAAAACAAAAAACACACAAACAAAAAAAGCTACAACAACAACAAAAAAGCCAGAATGGTGCTAGGGGCTGGGTGCGCCAAGAGGGCTGAGACTGGCCCTGCTCTCACCACTTGCAGGTCTCATGGGGGGCCCCGTGCATGAATGGACACCCATTAGTACAGATGGCCCTAAACAGGAGCGTGCAGCACTGAGGGAACCATGAACTCCATGCAGAGGCTAGGAAGACGGCCTGCAGAGTGGACCCACTGCTAAGCCTTGAAGCTGATGAGGACTTCACTATGTGGAAGGAGGGGGAGGGCGTCCCCAGCAGAGAGGGCAGTGTCCGCCTAGGCCCCGCTGCACAGAATAGCCTGGCACATCGGGGAAGTTGACAGTCACTCCCTTGGTGAGGGAGGGAGTAGAGAGATGAAGGCGCTCAGGGGCCTTGGATTCCTTTTGTGCCTACTCACTTTTTTCTTAGGTTATTTTCTCTCTGAAGAGTGTTCCCGGCCATTCTGGGTCATCAGTGTGTCTTTCAAAGGCTGCCACCCACTTGAACCGTGTATCTTGCACAGTAATTTAACTCAGACTTAGACTTCCTTCCCTGGTACTTGATGATCCGCTCCAGGGTCACATCTCTTCTCCCAGCCATGCCTGCTGGGAGACCCTGGATGTCCGCAGTCCAGACACGCTGGGCACTCTGCCTGTGGGTGCTGACCCCCTGTTCTCCTCCTCATTTTCAGCGAAAGGCAAGCTTTAGAACCTGTCTGCATAACGCTCGGGGATCAGCAGACTCTCTGGGCCCTGGACATCCATGGGAACCTGTGGTTCAGAACTGGCATTGTTTCCAAGACGCCTCAAGGAGATGACGACCATTGGTGGCAAGTAGGTGTTCAGCTCTGGGCCGCATGCTGAGGTCTCCCTGACCTTTTCTGTTCCCTTTTTCTTACCTCTCTCTTTTCCTTAAAGATACTGGATTAAATTTAAAATGTTCACTTTTTGTTTGTTTTTTGTTTGTTTTGAAACAAGATCTCCTTCCGTCACCCAGGCGGAAGTCCAGTGGTGCAGTCACAGCTCACTGCAGTCTTGACTTCCTGGGCTCAGGTGATTCTCCCACCTCAGCCTCCCAGGTAGCTGGGACTACAGGCATGTGCCAGCACGCCCGGCTAGTGTTTTGTAGAGACAGGGTTTTGGCATGTTGCCCAGACTGGTCTCAAACTCCTGAGCTCAAGAAATCCACCCAGACTGGGCACAGTGGCTCACGCTGTAATCTCAGCAATTTGAGAGGCCTAGTCAGGCAGATCACTCGATTCCAGGAGTTCAAAGCCAGCCTGGGCAACATGGCGAAACCCTGTCTCTACCAAAAATACAAAAATTAGTTGGGCATGGTGGCACACGCCGTTGGTCCCAAGTACTTGGGAGGCCGAGGTGGGAGACTGGTTTGAGCCCAGGAGACAAAGGTTTCAGCCAAGATCACACCACCATACTCCAACCTAGGCAACAGAGCTAGACCCTCTCAAAAAAAAAAAAGAGAGAGAGAGAGAGAAATCCACCCGCTCTGCCTCCCAGTGTGCTGGGATTACAGGTGGAGCCACCACTTCCAGCCAATAGTATTCACTTTTTCTATTTGATGGATTAGACTTTGCTGGGTTTGAGTACATTAGAAACATCAAGGACTTTTCATCATAGGAAATAATTTGCAAAACTCTTTGAGTAAATAATGATCTTGGCCGGGCGCGGTGGCTCACGCCTGTAATCCCAGCACTTTGGGAGGCCGAGGCCAGTGGATCACAAGGTCAGGAGATCGAGACCATCCTGGCTAACTTGGTGAAACCCCGTCTCTACTAAAAATAAAAAAATTAGCCGGGCGTGGTAGCGGGCGCCTGTAGTCCCAGCTACTCGGGAGGCTGAGGCAGGAGAATGGCGTGAACTCAGGAGGCAGAGCTTGCAGTGAGCCGAGATCATGCCACTGCACTCCAGCCTGAGCAACAAAGTGAGACTCCATCTCAAAAAAAAAAAAAAATCGTATTTATTTTGATATTATTTATAAATTTATTATAGGCTAAATAAACCCAGTGACATCCATTTGAAGACGTAGGTAATAATGATGTTTAATTATGAATAAATGTGCTAATAAAAGAGCCCAGACAATAGGTTTGAAAGTCCAACCCAGAATTAAAATTGAGCTATCTCTGCTTATTTAGAAGGCCTCTAAGTAAATGGTATTTCAGCAAAGAAAGGAGAATTTCCCACGTGCTTCCAGAAAAGGAAACACTTTAAGAAACAGGATGAGGGTATAATCAAGCTCACTTTGTGTGATTTGGTCCCAGCGGGAGTGCCTAGAATGAATCTCTTTTCTTTTTCTTTTCTTTTTTTCTGGGGCAGGGTTGCACTCTTTTGCCCACGCTGGAGTGGTGGCGGGATCAGGACCCACCTCAGTCTCCCAAGTAGCTGGGACCACAGGCACATGCCACCATGCCCGGCTAATTATTTTGGTAGAGACAAGGTCTTGCTGTTACCCAGGCTGGTCTCGAACTCCTTGGCTGAAGCAATCCTCCCACCTTGACCTCCCAAAGCACTGGGATTACAGGCGTGAACCACCACCCTCGGCCCTAGAATGGATTTTCAAAGGAATGTCTACTTTCTCCATCTTTGGTATAGTTGAGTGTTAGCGTTGCTCCCGCAGCCTGCCACTGTGGTAGGTAAGATTGCACTGATAGTCCATGGTCATGAAATATTTGATGTTTCTTTTTTTTTTCTTTGAGACGGAGTCTTGCTCTGTCACCCAGGCTGGAGTGCAATGGCATAATCTCAACTCACTGCAACCTCCACCTCCCGGGTTCAAGCGTTTCTCCTGCCTCAGCCTCCCAAGTAGCTGGGACTACAGGTGCCCGCCACCACACCCAGCTAATTTGTGTACTTTTGGTAGAGACAGGGTTTCACCATGTTGGCCAGGTTGGTCTCAATCTCTTGACCTTGTGATCTACCTGCCTCAGCCTCCCAAAGTGCTGGGATTATGGCGTGAACCACCGCGCCAGCCAATATTTGATGTTTCTTAAGTATCTTGTCCCATTGTTTTGTGTTTTACTGTCACCTCAGACTTGCTTTGTTGATGGCTTGTCTTGCATTGACTGCTCTGAGGTCTCTTTCAGATGAGAATGTAGAAAAATGAATTGTGTTTGCTCTTTGATAAAATGTGTATTGTATATAATATGTTCATTGTATACAGATGTATCTAATTTTATATACTAGGTAATATTTGATAGTTATGCAAATGATTTAAAAATACATTTTGTGCACTTGTAACCATATATATACATATACATGTACAAATATACATATATGTATTTTTGTAGAGACAGGGTTTCACATGTTGGCAGGCTGGTCTGGAACTCCTCATCTCAAGTAATCCGCCTGCCTCAGCCTCCCAAAGTGCTGGGATTACAGGCGTGAGCCACTGTGTCCAACTAGGAGTAGGGCATTTATGCCAGTGATGTTCTATGTAATCAAACCCAGCAGAGCAGAAATGTGAGTGAACATGATGGAGAATCAGATTTTCACTCAAAGAACTTGCCTTACATCAAGCTGCTCAAGAAGAGAGGAGCTTCCTGCAGGGAGGGCTGGTTGGAGAAATGTCTGAGGTGTATGAATGCTTTTCAGGAATGTTATAGAAGCAAGCTACCCTTCTGAGCTAGGGTTAGAGTCTAGATACCCAGGACGGTCCTAGTTGATGCTGTTGCCCTGCAGTAATTATTAGTAGTCCCAATTCAGATCATAAATTAGTTCATCACAGCCTTACATGGTGGCTCACACCTGTAATCCCAGCACTTTGGGAGGCCGAGGCGGGCGGATCACCTGAGGTCAGGAGTTCGAGACCAGCCTGGCCAACATAGTGAAACCCCATCTTTACTAAAAATATAAAAAATTAGCTGGGTGTGGTGGTGTGCACCTGTAGTCCCAGCTACTCGGGAGGCTGAGGCAGGAGAATCTCTTGAACCCAGGAGGCGGAGGTTGCGGTGAGCCAAAATTGTGCCACTGCACTCCAGCCTGGGTGGCAGAGTAAGACTGTATCTCCAAAAAAAAAAATAGTTCATCACTCTACTTGTGATACCTTTTTAAATGCATATTATGTTTCTAAGTACCGTATACTGTTGTCCACTGGAAATACCTGATTTAAAAGCAAAATTAAAGCCGGGCATAGTGGTTCATGCTGGTGATCCCAACACTTTGGGAGGCCAAGGCAGGGAGATCGCTGGAGCTAAGAAGTTCAAGACCAGCCTGGGCAACATAGGGAGACCTGTCTCTACAAAAAATTTAAAAATCAGCTACATGTGGTGGCATTCGCCTGTGTTTGGGAGGCCAAGGCGGGAGGATTGCTTGATCCTGGAAGTCAGGGCTGAGTATGATTGTGCCACTGCGCTCCAGCCTGGATGCCAGAGCAAGACTGTCTCAGAAAAGATGGCAAAATTCTTCTTTCTCACTCTGATTAGAATGAAAGTCTTCTTACAAGGGGTGTAAGGGGGTGATACTTAATCACAAAAGTAATACATGCTTGTAACAGATCCATGTGTGTAAAATGCGAATATATTCTTCCATACCTTTAAATCCAACCCTACAAAGGAGCTGGAGTTAGAGTTAGCAGTTTGATGGCATCCTGCCACGTTTTTTGGTCCTTTCACAAGCGCACATGTGCACATTTGTGTTTGGATGGTCGTCTTGTTACTGGAAATGCAGAGGTGTGGACCTGGGCTAGAACCTTCCCTCAAGGCGGAGAGTCTACACTTGTAACTGCTCTGACAGCAGGGCTTTTGTCTGTCTCCTCCTTCCAGGTGAGCATCACGGACTATGTGGTGTTTGACCAGTGCAGCTTATTTCAGACGATAATCCATGCCACTCACTCGGTGGCCACAGCTGCCCAAGCCCCTGTAGAGAAAGTGGCAGATAAGCTGCGCATGGCGTTTTGGTCCCAGCAGCTTCAGTGCCAGCCAAGCCTTCTCGGGGTCAATAACAGTGGCGTCTGGATCTCCTCGGGCAAGAATGAATTCCACGTCGCTAAGGGAAGTCTCATAGGTGGGTGAATTGCTGTAATTTTCACACTGGCTTTATAGGCAGCTGCACTTCAAAGCCAACATTTAAATAAAAGCTTTAAGATCTCAACTTGAAAACACAGTTTAGTGCCAGCGGTATGAAGTGTCTAGTGAAGGCACCCTGCTTTGTGATCAGTTTCTCTCCTTTTTAAAAAATCTGTCATTCCTAAAACTTGGATCCCTGTGTCGGGATAGTGGGGAAACCTTTTATGACATAAGAAAAGCAAATGGAGTCATTTTTATGTTAACAATTTCACATTTTAAATGAAAAAGTCCACCCAAACCTAGTGAGAGAGAATGGTCCATTTCCTGGAGGGAAAGTGATCGCCACTGTTGGAAATGCAGGGCTCTGGCCAGGTCTGGGAATATAGATGCCAGTCCACACATCCTGGGGTTCGTTTCTATGAGTGAACCCCTTGCTTTTCTCCAGCCCTCTCCCTGCTGCATGGCCTCCATGACCCTGGGCTGGATGTGGCTCTGCCTGGCAGTATTCAGAGGGAAATGAATGGCAGGCTGTGATTGCTCATGTTGCTTAATTCAGGGACACTCTAGAATTATCTGGAGAAAGGATTTGAAGGCCGGATGTCGTCTAGAACTAAGATCTGAAGTTTCTTTCTTTAACATACTCTTCTTGTTTACTCTTTCCAGGCACCTACTGGAATCATGTTGTTCCCCGTGGGACAGCTTCTGCTACAAAATGGGCCTTTGTGTTGGCCTCTGCGGCTCCCACGAAGGAAGGTGGGTCAGTCTTAGCCTTGCTGAAAAATCTCGAGCACGGCTTGGCCACTGGAAGGGTTCAAACCATGGTCCGACTGTGGCCTTGTTGGTGATGCCGCCTCGGAGACCGGCCATGTGAGGGTGTCAGAGGCCAGCAGCGCTTGTTAGCTGAGGGAGGGCCCTGAAGTGGGATAGGCCTGACCAGGAGAGCCTCTGAGAGGGACTGAGTGTGATGAAGATGAGGGAAAGCGTCCTTCTGAAGGAGGGGCTCACACAGTGCAGCCACCGGGGCTGGCAGCTGATGACTTCTAGTGCCACGGCAGGGGCCACAGCTTCTTTGGGCACCTTCCCATCTCCTCTTGAGAATCCTTCTGTCACCTCCCAGCAACTTCCTTCTGTCTTGTTCACAGCCTGTGGATAACCTAAGTCCCACATTTGCACCCCATTAGGCAGACCTGCCCTGCAGGGGGGTGCTCCTGCCAACTACATTCTGGGCAGGACTCAGTGTCCCTACAGAGTACGGGGTTTGTGAGGGAGCCAGAACACCAGAGGGTGAGGGAGCTGGCATCTGCGGCCAGGAGAGGCAGTTCTCCCACCCAGTTAGCTGGGAACCCAGGCAGTCAGGTGACCTCTCTGGGAAGTAGCCATACCTCCTTCCAGGACTGCATGAGGATGAAACGTGAAGATGCTGTGAAATCTGTGGTGAAGAGGGAATCGTTTGCTTAGTTCAAACCATTAGTCCCACTAGGATGCGGGTGACTGGGTCAGTACAATAACTTCTTACTCACCAGATTGTTCGGACCACAGTTCTGGAACCCAGAAATCTCTGACAACAATAAGTTATTTATTAAGTTTGGCATAAATTAATTTGGCAGCAGAACCTGACCAGATCTCACATAGCTGCCTCCAGCCTTGGTTGATCTGTTGGCTGTGGCCGTATCCATGTTGCAGAGATGTTACTGCGCTTCACCCGGGAGCGCCTGGCCCCTCTGGGGTTGTTTTGTAAACCTCTAGCATAGCCATTGGCTTAGGTTTTCAAAAATACAGAAAAAGTTTGAATTCCAAAACATATGTGGCCACAAGTTGTAGGTAATACTTCAGATAATGTACTGTGACCAAGGTTTTAACTGCCCTAAGGATTATTTGCATTTTAAACAGAATCTGTTAAACCTAAAGGACTTTTTTAAAATGCTGGAGGGAATGAAAGGATGTGATTTTGAGGCAAGGATGGGAAGAGAAGCTTTTCCAGCTTCCTAAGCCTTCTCCAGCAGCTGGCCCACCCCCCAGCCCCATCCCCAGAAGGCCTGGGACAGCGCCATGGCACCCTCCTTCCAAGGAACTGCTAACCCTCCCTCCCTCCCTCCAGGGCACTGAGTTGATAGTCTTCTCCTCTTGGTAAAATTAACTTTCTATATTAAAAATGCTCTGATGCCTTTGTTCAGTGAAAAACTTCCCAGCCCATGAAAAATGGGAAGTCAAAGCCACTAAGCCAACATTATGGCCGTCATAAAATCTCCTAAGCCTTGCCTTCTTTCCATTTCTTTCCAACATCTCAGGCATGTTTCTTGTTAGTCGTGGTGTTTCCCTCTGCCTTCTACCTTAAAGTGCTACACCACTCCTGCCCACGTGGGAATGGGCGGGTGAGTGAGCCAGCATCCGCGACCAGGTGGCCGGCGTCTGCCGAAAGGCAAAGGCTGCCTTGTGCATTTAGGGCAGGCAGCTCGGTGCAGACAGCACCTTGATGACAAACATGACCCCTTTCTGCAGGAAGCTTCCTGTGGCTGTGCCAGAGCAGCAAGGACCTGTGCAGCGTCAGCGCCCAGAGTGCACAGTCGCGGCCCTCCACGGTGCAGCTGCCTCCCGACGCCGAGATGCGCGCCTACGCCGCCTGCCAGGATGCGCTGTGGGCGCTGGACGGCCTTGGCCAGGTCTTCATCAGGACGCTCTCCAAGAGCTGCCCCACGGGCATGCACTGGACCAGGCTGGACCTCTCCCAGCTAGGTATGGCCGCCTCGTGAGTACGCCTGCCGGTGCCCTCACTGCCCTAAAACCGCAACACAGCGTGATGTCGGACAAAACTTCCCGGCCTGTGTTCAACTCGTGAGAGTTCTGAGAGGATATTTATAAGTTGCTGGATTTCAGGAGCTCAGTTGGCCACTCTTCCAGACTAGACCGGCTCTGGGCTTTGTCCCTTCCCCTGCCCCTTAGAGTTTGCAGGGCTGTCAGAACCTGAGGAGGGCGCACGTCCTCAGATCAAGGGGCCACTCACTGAGAGCAGCTTGAAGGATAGTGGTGATGCAGCTGCCTGTCAGTCTGTCTGAATATGGAACATAGCTTTATGACCTTAAAAGCTAAAAAGATGGGTGTTCCTACGACAGGATGGGTGCCACGTTTGTCCATCCCCTCAGGACAGTACTGGCAGAGGAGAGTGGCTTAGCACACAGGTGCCACCTCTCCTTCAGCTCAGCCAGATCCAGGAGGACCTGCGCCCTCTAGCTCCTGCTTTTCTCTGCATCTCCCCTCAAAAGCCGCAGAGTAGGCTAAGAAATGTAGTGCTATTTGAAGGCCGGGAGCGGTGGCTCACACTTGTCATCCCAGCACTTTGGGAGGCTGAGGTGGGTGGATCACCTGAGGTCAAGAGTTCGAGACCAGCCTGGCCAACATGGTGACACCCTGTCTCTACTAAAAATACAAAAAAAAAAAAAAAAATTAGCTAGGCATGGCAGCGCACTCCTATAATCCCAGCTACTCAGGAGGCTGAGGCAGGAGAATTGCTTGAACCCGGGAAGTGGGGGTTGCAGTAAGCCAAGATCATGCCATTGCACTCCAGCCTAGGCAACAGAGCGAGACTCTGTTTCAAAAAAAAAGAAGAAAGAAATGTAATGCTGCTATTTGTAAATAATTCATTCATGTTCCAAGAACTGATAACATAAGCCCACGTTAGGTTTCTCTCTGAGTAGATTCTTGGTGGATCAGGAAGCGTAGGTGTGGTTTGCCTGCAGGTGGAGTTGTGCAGATGGCCCCCAGGGCCCGGGTGAGCCCTGCGCTGGCAGCAGGACTGACTTAGGAACTTCCTGGCTGCGAGGCTTCCCAGCTTTTTAACTTACAACCAGCATTTGGTTATGTGGTAGATTTGAATTGTGTAAGAACTCAACCACATGTACTCACCAAAAAAAAAAAAAAAAGGAGGAGGGGGAGAAAGAAAGCAAGAAGAGGGCTGAGCACAGTGGCTAATGCCTATAATCCCAGCACTTTGGGAGGCCGAGGCGGGTGGATCACCTGAGGTCAGGAGTTCAAGCCCAGCCTGGCCAACATGGTGAAACCCCATCTCTACTAAAAATACAAAAATTACCTGGGTGTGGTGACACACGCCTGTAATTCCAGCTACTTGGGAGGCTGAGGCACGAGAATCATTTGAACTTGGTAGGCAGAGGTTGCAGTGAGCTGAGATCCATGCCATTGCACTCCAACCTGGGTGACAGAGCAAGACTCTGTCTCAAAAGAAAAAAAAAAAAAGAAAGCAAGAAGAGAAGGGCTTGTCCCCCTTCTCCCCAAGCCCCTGGCTGCCTTGCAGTCTGTATGCTACCAGCTGTCAAGGAGAGCCTTTTGCCATTCTGTAAAGCAAGCATTGTCCTAGGCAGCCTGGTGGTGGTTGGCGTGCTCAGCCCTGGGGGCTCCTACGGGGTGCTGAGTAGACATCACCTATTCTTTTGCCTGAAAAGGCCCCTGAACACTAACTCAACTGAAGAAGCAAGTTCTGTTCCAAGGCTTGGGAATTGAAGGTTTGTACAGGGCAGTTTTTGTTCTTTGTTCTTTGGGCCTCCCCACCTGCCTTTTGGACCCACCAGTCAGCATCTAGCTTTTTGAGAACACCCCACTCTCCGCATCACTGACAGTGACTGATCAGACAAGGCTGAGGCTGAGAGTGGCCTGAACATTGGTGCTGGCTGACATGTCGCCTGCCCTGGGAAGCCTTTCATTTGTTCAGAGACCGTACTGGTCCTGAACCTTTCTCCAGCAGCTCCTACCCAGACTAACTGGAAAATGCCACTAGTTCCCTCTGGGGGTAAAAAGTCCAGGGCGTGATGTGTGTTCTCCCTGCTCCTGAATCTTGAGCACTGTGGGAGGCCGTGTTCACCTGCACCATTTGGGTGAGAAGCAGAACTGTTTCCCCTGCACGTCCCCTTCCCAGCCCCTCCAGGAAGGCTGCCGCACCATGGTGGGGTTCAGAGTGAACGGGTGTCGTCCCATTTTCTGAACTGCTGGAGTCAGCCCTGCCTGGGCCTCCCACCTCCAGCACAGCTCGTGCCTCCCTCCTGGCTCGATCCAGTCCTCCCAGCACTGGCTAGCTGGCCAAAGTGGTACAGGTCTCTAAGGTGTGTATTTGGGCTTCACTGGGAGGTTTCTCTAGGGGAGAAACTGGCTTGAGTGGGATTGAGTCTCAAGGGTGCAAGGGAAACAGGAACAAGTCCACCCTGAGTCCAAGATGGCCTTGGGCCCTCTGGTGTTCAGCAGATATTCATTGAGGGGATGGGTGTGTGAGTAGAGGGATGGCCTGGGGGTCCTGGTCGCTGTGGATGGGCAGGTTTTCACTGAGCCCCTGTGTTCTTCCTGCAAAATCGTTAGCAAACTAATGTAAGTATCCAGCTGAGCCTGAAATGGATCAGACATGCAGTGGGTGCAAGTGCAAGGAAGTCACAGGCAGAGGTGTGGGAATTCATGGCAGAGGCAGGACAGCTGGGCCCCAGGCAGGCTCTGGGACTCTGAGCAAGCTGCTGTTACCTCGAACCGCAGTTTGCTCTTCTTGCTTTTTTTTTTTTTTTCCAGATGGGGTCTTACTGTGTCACCCAGGCTGGAGTGCAGTGGCACGATCTTGACTCACTGCAACCTCTGCCTTCCCAGGCTTAGGCAGTCCTCCCACCACAGCCTCCCAAGTAGCTGGGACCACAGGCATGTGCCGCCATGCCCAGCTAATTATTTTGTTTTATTTTATTTTTTTGAGATGGAGTTTAGCTCTGTCGCCCAAACTGGAGTGCAGTGGCACAATCTTGGCTTTCTGCAGCCTCTGTCTTCCCGGGTTCAAGCAATTCTCCCTGTCTCAGCCTCCTGAGTAGCTGATATTACAGGCACCCACCACTGCACCTGACTAATTTTTTGTGTTTTTAGTAGAGACAGGGTTTCGCCATGTTGGCCAGTCTGGTCCTGAACTCCTGACCTCAGGTGATAGGCCTGCCTCCGCCTCCCGAAGTGCTGGGATTACAGGTGTGAGCCACCGCGCACGGCCCCTGCTAACTTTTGTATTTTGGGTAGAGGTGGGGTTTCATCATGTTGGCCAGGCTGCTTGAACTCCTGACCTCAAGTGATCCACCTGCCTCGTCCTCCCAGTGTGCTGGGATTACAACTGTGAGCCACCATGCCTAGCCTTGGTTTCCTCTCCTTTCTAATGGGAGCAGCAACCCCCAAGCCCAACCGCCCGGAGGATGCACGGGGCATCCTGTCTAAGTGTGGGCCATCTCCGGGCGGTGTGGTCATCCGAAGGCTGTGACACATCTTGCTTGGGGGTGCTCTCTAGCCTTTGTTAGCTGCTCGTCGTGGGGCTTTTGCTTGTGTTGCCCCAGTTTGTGCCACAGGGAGGGCAAATCCAGCATCTCTTGTTAAAGCACCACCTTGCTTAGTCCTTATCCTGCCCTGAACTTTAGATTTTGTTTATTTATCTGAGTTATCTGGTTGATCTTGAAATGTCAGATTAAGACTCCTTTCCTGTTTCCTACACATCCTGAGAGAATGCAGCAAGTCCAGGGTTGGCAGCTTTGTGTTGGGGGCAAGGGAGGTGAGCAGGCAACTAGGACCCCCAGGCCATTCCTCTGCTCACACACCCATCCCCTCAATGAATATCTGCTGAACACTGGAGGGTCCGATGTCATCTTGGACTCAGGGTGGACTTGTTCCTATTTCCCTTTCACTTTTGTTTTTTGTTTTGCTTTTTTTTTTTTGAGACAGAGTCTCGCTCTGTTGCCCAGGCTGGAGTGCAGTGGCGCGATCTCGGCTCACTGCAAGCTCCACCTCCCAGGTTCACGCCATTCTCCTGCCTCAGCCTCCCAAGTAGCTGGGACTACAGGCGCCCGCCACCACGCCTGGTTAATTTTTTGTATTTTTAGTAGAGATGGGGTTTCACCGTGTTAGCCAGATGGTCTCAATCTCCTGACCTCGTGATCCGCTGGCCTCGGCCTCCCAAAGTGCTGGGATTACAGGCATGAGCTACCATGCCTGGCTTCCCTCTCACTCTTGAGACTCAATCTCACTGAATCTGGGTTTCTCCCCTAGAAAGAACAGCCACCCCCCAGCCTTTACTATGCCAGGGTAGGGGCAGTGAGCATCAGGCCAGGGGCACCAGGTATTCAGGTATTGGGCTCTCTCCAGGTATGGTCTGTGTCCTGCAGGAAAAGCAGGTAGGTCAAGAGACTTCTTTTTTTGTTTCTGTGTTTGTTTGTTTGTTTGAGACAGAGTCTTACTCTGTCACCCTGGCTGGAGTGCAGTGACACAGTCTTGGCTCACTGAGACCTCCGCCTCCTGGGTTCAAGCGATTCTCCTGCCTCGGCCTCCCGAGTAGCTGGGATTACGGGCATGCACAGCTATGCCTAGCTAGTGTTTGTATGTTTAGTAGAGACAGGGTTTCATCATGTTGGCCAAGCTGGTCTCGAACTCCTGACCTCAACTGATCCACCTGCCTCGGCCTCCCAAAGTGCTGGGATTACAGGTGTGAGCCACTGCACCCCACCCAAGAGACCTTTTAGTAATTACATATTTAAGTGATAATTTTGAATTCAGGCGTGCTATCTGCACAGGAGCCCATGTATGACTGTGCGTGGCAGCTGTCATCAGGTGGCGTACGTTGAATGGGATTGACTGTAAAGAAGAGTCAGACTGACATGGCTGCTGCCTGTGTTACTTATCTGGAATTAATTGGGGTGCTTCATTTATCTTTTACAAGTCAGCAGTGG